TTACTGTGTAACTTCATCATTTTCGTACCAAATATGTTATTCTATCCCCAGCCCAAACATTTTCTTCAAAAGTGCTTAACAGTATGTTGCTGATTATCATTACAGGACGAGTCATATGGACAATTTTGTGACTTTCATGTAAGATATTGTGGATTAATTAAACAAACTATGAAAATCTACAAGCTTGGTACTAGGCATGTCATTTCAGTAGCCGAGATAAGCATACTTATGGCGACTTAGGTCATACTTCTGCAGATATACTTAAATTCATTGACTGAATTTTTGTTGTTGCTGATGTTTCTATGCTAGTCGCCGGTATAGACCTGCTACAATACCATAATATACTCAATGACTCGAGCAAACGTGGGTTAGCAGGCGGGAGTACAAAGTTGTCAGCTTAAGGACTTTTGAAATATTGTTTCAGCTTATGCTACGTTATTGATAAACATATAATCCACCCACACATCTAGCGGATACTCAACAAGTACACAAAACTTTAAAAACATGATCAAAATTGCCGTGCGTAACCGTGCTACACACCTCAGCACAACTGCAGTACCGCCTGTATTCTTTAAAGCACGCCGATTAGCTCTCGAAAAGCTAAGGCTAGCCAAAAACGAATTCGAGCATGTGATATATTGATGAATTAACCGGTCATCGAGCAGCCCATGGACATCGCTCTTATACATGGTCCTCAAAAGGACAGAGATGATTACCATCAAACTGGTGATCATTGTCGACTGAATATGAAAACTACTCTCTATCGTTACCCGTCGTCTCACATTCACGATCTGACGGTTAACTTAAATGTTATAGCTGTGTTTTCGAAAACCGGCTTAGTTAAAGCATATATCCAAGTCCTCATGGCTGCAGACGGCGTTTTTAAACTGACTCTCATCACTCTCTTCGAACTTACAGTTCAAAAAATGCTGCACAAACGTTTCAGTAATTCATCAATGGTATCTTTCTGGGTCTCAACTTCTTGCACGCACATGAAAATGACCGCTTAATCGCAAGTCGGGACAGAGAATCCCATATTCAACATCTGAGTCTGGTTTTCGAATGGCGCCGAAAACGTGCTATTGCTTTAGAAATTTCGAATTGTCAGATCGGTACAGACCTTTCGAACTTTCGCGAACACATTAATGATGCACAAAGCATACACCCTCTGAAAAACAATGTGGTGGCCAATCTGGATTATTCAGAACAGCCTATGTTCAAGCAACTACTAACGTTCAATAGACCGATAAGCCTCCATCGACGATCCATACCAAATTGTGCGTCTCTGCTGAGACCCATAACAGACGAACTTTGTTGAAATGCTGTACTCATCAGTTTGGACGATAAAACGTAAAAAGCATTCTTCACGGTCGAGAAAATTATTTATGAAGCAACTGTGCCTACACGTCAGGATATCAAAGCTGTCATTAGTATCCCTGTAGACTCATCCGACTCATAAATCAGAAAAGTCTTACAACAATCGGTAAACAAAACCTGGTAACCCTTGACGTTCATTTGGAGATGGCTGCAATACAGTGAATGGGAGTATGTCACTTTTATTTGGGAACTCTTAGCCATGTACTGTGCTGCACGGTACTTTCAATACTCGGTGGAAGGCAGAGAATTCATTTTATATACGGACAACAAACCTCTAACCTATTCTCTAAGTTTGTTTTCAGACAAGCACGCTCGAATGTCTTGACAACTATACTACATTTCGAAATTAACAACATAAACATTTTAAGAGCAAGTAATGTAGTTACAGGTACCTTGTCTCATTTAAACTCCCTGAACAGTTTCCAAGGAATCCACTTTCTTAAACTCGAACAGCTTCAAAAAGGAGACACTGATCTTCAGCACGATTTATCTTCAACAACCCTAAAACTGCGTATTAAACAGGCGGGGACAGGTAAGGAAACTTTGTTATGCGACACATCTGCAGGTAGGGATCGTCAAATCGTTCCGAAACATTATCGCCGCAACATCAGTAAGTTACACAAACGTTCTCATCTAGATGTCCGAGCATCCATCAAGTTTTTAGCAGAACGGTTTTGTTGGCCTGGTATATATAAAGACGTGAGAGAGTGAGCATACTTCAATGTAAACTGGCAGAAATCTGGAGTGGTTAGATACAACGCATGTCCCATGGGTATTTTTGTAACTCCTGACTCTCATTCCAACCACGTTTATCTTGATTTGTTGGGACACTTGCCTGGGTCAAGTAGATACTCTTACCACCTAACGTGTGTGGACTGTTACATATGGTGGCCAGTAGCAGTACCAATCAAGTACATTACTAATCAAACGGGCTTATGAATGAGATGAGTTCAGTTAAATCTATTCACACTCAACAGCAATCAACTAATATTTTCGTGCACCCCACCTGATGACTTGATAGGTAACATTTTGTGCAATGAGACCAATTACGACTACCCCTCGAAACAGTGTACACAGGACCCTTCAAAGCTCTCCATCGCAAAACTAAGTGCTATAACGTAGCTAAGAACTAACCGAAACATCAGGATTAAGTATCTTAAGGCCACTTGGAAGGAAGCTTAATCATGTTGCCTTCCTCGGAATAATCGAGTGATACGACGTCATCCCCGATAATTGACGACTACGACGAAACTAAGTTGGTATGCGACAACTGGCACACGCCAATGCACTCTAAGAGAACGGAAAAGTTTACAGGACATCTTCTGGAACGATTTCACTTCGCGTGCCATCAATATCCACAGGCTTTTTGTTGGTGTGGCATCTGGATACCGTTACAGATGATACATATTCATTACAGTTATTTTGAGTATTTACTGCTATTAATGCAAAATAAGTCACTGCTAAAGTCGACTACCATTGATCGTACTTTCGTTGACAAGTTGTCTAAACGAAAGGAAATTACGCTTTTTTCATGAATATCGTTCACAGTTTATTCCACCTTCGCCTATGTGTCGATTTATGACAACTAAGGGCGCTTGAAAAGTTCACTGTCGCCCTACGTCTACGAACATTCTCATTAACTTTTACTTGATTCATCTTACAGAAAAAACAGGACAATTAGTGATAATAATTGAAAACAGAGAGCATGGCGTAAGCTATTGGTGACTACAAACTAGCGTGTCTGGCCACTTCTGTTAAACAAACAGCAATGTTTTAATGTATAAATCTCAGAAAAGTTCCAAAGTCTATATAAATCTGTTATTTAAACAAAACGTTATTTTTGAGAGGTTTATGAAAATGTATGTTAAGTAAGCGGGACATTGGGACGGGCGCATTACTTGTCAACGAATTTCCACGAATACTGGACGTAAGGGTGAGAAACCGATATTTTAAATTTATTTACTCTGTCGTCATCTTCATCTCTTGCAAATCCGCCTTTATTTTCCCTTTGCTAGTTACTTGCAATTTTTTTCTGTTCCAGTTCTCATCTCACGGGACACAGCGTTGTGTCCCGTGGTATGCGCGTACCTATAAGCTTGACGTGAACTACTACATATTAGCATCATTAAGGAATTTACCCTCAGGGTGACTTCTGCGATCCGACCGATTTGGACATAACACCAATAGTCGCGTTTGTAGGACGCTTCCATAGTCTTATTAGCTTGTTTTTTAATCACTGTCATATTTTAGACTAAAACATTTATTATAAGGTTGGTCATAAAAATTTGTATGTTAACTTTATTCAAACCAAATGGTCGCGACCACTTAGATGGACAGTGGTCTAGGATTCCATAATTCGCGGATTGTTTGTTTATAACTCTAAGATTCAACTTCATCGACTAATCGTCTATTCCCATCATCAATCTTACCAGTGACCTTGTGAATGAATCGTCTTACCGCTATGTAAATTAATCGTTTTTGATTGCCACGTTCCACAACAGGTTTAGACCTCCATTTAAGTAGATGATCATTTAACTTCTGAAAACAGATCGTGAATTAATTACATACGAAGCAGTTTATTCATTACACCTTGATCCCTAAGTACCAAATTTTCCACATCAGAATTTTCTCAATTTCGCGAATTCCCCTTTTTGAACAAATCTTAAGTGTTCATTGCTGTTGTTGTTTCGTCGTCCTAAGTGTAATAACATGATTTGTATAGAAAAAGCCTGTATAATATTATACTGGAATATCTGTAATCTGCTAATTGTAGGCTTTATATTGTACCGTCTGACATCTAGTGATTCTACTCGGTGCCTGTATTGAAACTGGCTTGCTCTCTTCGAACCCGTGACTACTAAGTCTTGAACATATAGGTAGAATATTTTTATAATGTCTTGTTTGATAGTTAAGTGGCAGTAACAGCCTTCTTTGTTGGATATGTCAAACAATGAAGTAATCTTATCACTAAGTTGGTACTACTACCTAAAGAATAAGTTATTCCGAGTCTTAATGACTTTCATATACAGCAAATGCAGACAGGTATTAATTTAAAGACCTATATCTAGCACCGAAAATCAAACCCATACATATAGTTTTAGAGTCATCAAATCGAATTGCTCTCAACGTAGACTGTTCAAAGTCTGTACGTTTCTCTGATAGGCATAGCACAGCGACTTTGCTGCCGACCTCACGGATACAAATATTGTTTTTCCTGCTGATACCTTTCATCAAGTGATTTTCAAATATTCATATTTAGAGATTTCAGCTAATAGGACATACTACTTCAAGATATTCTTATTTAGTTTTCCTCCAGTGACCACGTTTTTATCGAACACCATTTTACAGATATATTTAGACAATCATAACTTTCATCAACATTGGCTGAGTCATCGTCATGGTAGATTCTGAAAATTCAGTAGATAGGAAATACTATATTGATTTTGTCCCGACAAATTCTGCGCAAGCCATTCAGAAAGCAGTTACTCATTTATATTGCTGTGAAGATATTGTGATTAAAGGAAAACTTGGAAGCGGTTATTTCGCCTCAGTATTTTTGGTAATCAAGCTAAAATGTTTTATTATAATAAATTAAGGTAAGTCATCGTCCAACCAAAAGGCTTATGGCTATGAAGTTGGCTAATGAAGCATCTTTTAATCATCGAGAAATTGAACTTCTGGGTTCTTTGAATCATATCAATGTCCTGAGGTTTGTTACCTTCTGTTAAGTCTTTTGGTTACTAACTTTTAAATTACTCATATAAATAAATATATATCCTTATACAACAATGGGATAATGTTAACTGCAGATATATGCCTAGCATACATACCCTCAAATAATTAGCTTGTTGCAGCACTCGTTTATTGTTACGATCTTTGTTTTATGCTATTCCTTTCTATTATGATAGGTTTTTACCACATAGAAACTCCTTCAGTCCATGTGCCTTCTGATATGAATTCTCAGCGATTGGTATATGTGCTTCACATACCTATGATGGGTTATATTGAAATGTTAAAAATTAGGAAAATACAGTTGAAATGTTTCTAATTGAGATCATGGACCGATTGATGTTAGACCACCATCCGTGTCGGGTAGAGACAGGTATCTACCTCAGTACAATGGAAGATGGTCGCTTAATTTCATGGATTGGTCGAGGTCAGACATTAACACTATTGGATGCCGGTTCAGTAGTCCAGTAGGTTAAGCGTTCGCGCGTGAGACTAAAGGCCCTGGGTTAGAATTTCGCGGGCAGGATTGTGGATACTCACTGCTGAGGAGTCCCACAACGGGACGAAACAACTATCCAGTGCTTCCAGGTTTTCAATGGTGGTCTAACATCGATTGATTCATGATCCCACCTGTCCTCCATGTGCTGATCACAACTAATGCTTAATTCCTACACGAACCAACGATATACGGCAAACGTTAAAACTTGATATACTGGTTATAATAGCTGTCATTGAAGTAATTGTAATTTGGGTTAATTCTTCGTTTACTAATACCCTTCGGTTATCTACTTATCACTTAGTACTATATGATGTTCATTATTACTATTATTGCAATCGGCATGATTATTATTATTATTATTATTATTATTATTATTATTATTATTATTATTATTATTATTATTATTACTAATTACCCTTAAACTTACATGATAATGGGAGGTGGAAGTATTCTGTTTAGTGGTCATATAATATTTGTCCCAATCAGTTTTGTGACCTGCTTGCTAAAAACGTAGTTTTACCAAATAAATGTAAGTCTTTATATCTCTACGGCACAATTTCTTTGAAATTTATTCCTGTTAGCTTCTGAGTTCCTTATTATTTTTGTCTGTTGATTTCATTACGGAGTATCAAACAAAACAATAAAATACTAGACTAGTCTTTGGCAGTGATTACTCTTCGAATGTTGGTTTCATATCAGTTTTTACTAATGTGCTAAAAGACTTAGTTTTAAAGGATAAAAGTTTCAGTTTAATTAGCTGCGATTATTTTTATTCCTTTCTTTATTAAGAGTGAAACTTTCAAAACGCTAGTTATTTTCTAATTTTTTCAGACTCTGTGGATCTTGTTTGATCGGTGCCCGGTTTGTTTGTTTAACAGAAGTAAGTGTACTTTTAATTTTGAACAATAAAACCTTAAACGTCATTTAAGCATAATTATTTTGTTATTGTTAGGTTTGAAGCTTAACGAGTTCACTTAAATTGCGAGCGAGAACGAGGTTCGATGATCAACGACCAGTGAGCTAACTATTGACGCGTCCCAGCCCCGCTATCTAGAGAGAGAAGACCAGGCTTGAAATGAGAGTATATTCTGCAACAACCAGAAAACCAGCAAACGTTTTCACAAGACAATTTTAATAACGTATATATACAAATATATATATATATATATATATATATATATATATATATATATATATATATATATATATATCGATATTGCCATGGGGCTTTTAAACATTTCATCGATGGTTCGTCAATTGACTGCCATTGAAATATTTAAACATTAATCGATAAATTCGTCAATCAACTATGTGCGTGGGTGGTAAGAAATGCCCATGTATACATCTGCATACAAGCTTCACAAGATAAAATTACAAACTATGAGTTTTTGGGGATCTATTGTCCCCAACACGCCTCCCTTTTTTAGTAGCGCACTTTTCTGGGGTCGACTTGCATCCTGACCGTTGCTCGCCGCTGTCGGGTAGGCCACCTTCTGGAACGGAGATCAGCTTCTTGTTGAGCTTCTCGTGGTGGGGCTACTGGTAAGTTGAAGGTATCAAGTAGGATGTCAAGAGGGAGATTTGCTCCTGTTGATGGGCGGTCTAGGGTTATCTGCTTCCGTAGTTGGTTTCTGTGTCTTGTCCATATGTCTCTTTGCACCTTTACCTCATACATAACTTGGCCTGATCTTCCAACCACACATGCTTCGATCCAAGGACCGTGGTTTGCTTTGTAGTCTCGAGCGAACACCGGGCATCCAACCTCGTATGCTGACAGCTTTTGAGATCTGGTCTGAGGTGGTGGTGTGGTATTTGATCCCGAAATCATACCCCAAGAGTGCTAAGGCCCATCTCTGAAGACGATTTGCAGAATGAGCTGGAATGCCAGATTTCGACCCCGAATATTGCGAGTAAAGGCTTGTGATCTGTGAGAAGCGTGAATCTCCGACCGTAAAGGATTTTGTGGAAACGGCGCACAGCAAACACAAGCGCAAGAGCTTCCTTTTCTATCTGGCTGTATTTTTTTCTGCTGGGGTTAGTGTGCGGGATGCATGCATAACGGCTTTTTCCGACGCATCCGGAAACTCATGTGAGATAACAGCGCCTAGGCCATACGCTGAAGCGTCTGCAGCTACGATGATCGGCATGGCTGGATCGTAGTGTGTCAACAGCAATTCCGAACAAATAATGGACTTCAGTTTACAAAATGCCGCATCACACTGTTTAGTCCAGTTCCAAGAGCTGTTCTTCTGTAGTTAGCTATTCACTGGGGCGCGAATATCATGCATCGATGGAACGAACGCTGAGTAGTAGCTGACAAGTCCCAGGAAGGAACGTAGTGTCGTGACATTAGTTGGAGTGGGTATCAGTTTGATAGCTCGGATATTCTCAGGATCCGGTCTGCGGCCATCGGCATCGAAAACAAACCCCAAGTACTTTACCGACTGCAAATAAAACTGGCATTTCTCTGGGCGTAACGGGAACCCGTTGTCATTGATGCGTTGCAGTCGTGCGTTCTCGTAGCTGTTCTAATGTCGTCGCTACAATTAAAATGTCATCCAGATAAGCCGCGACTCCCAAGATACCTATTAGGATGGTATCCATTAGTTGCTGGAAAATAGATGGTGCAGTTTTGACCCCGAAAGGTAGACGGTTATACTGGAATAGACCACAATGGGTATTGATAGTTAGCAGCTCTCTTGATGCTTCATCTACTTCCACTTGCAAATAAGCATCAGCTAGATAAAGTTTAGCGAAGAACCTTCCTCCATTCAGCATGGTAAATAGGTCTGCGGGGACAGGCAGAGGATAATGATGTTGTTCCAGAGCTGCATTGAGACCTGTTGAAAAGTCAGCACATATACGTATCGTGCCGTTAGCCTTCTTGATAACAACTATAGGGGCTGCCCATGCAGAATAGGAAATGGGAGTAATAATTCCTTGTTGTTAAAGGCGATTCAATTCTTCATCTACTGTTTGCAATATTGCATAAGACACAGGTCTCTTTGGACGAAAAGCAGGCTTAGCCCCCGTTTTCAATCGAAGTGTTGCTTTCATGGCAGAGCACCGACCCAATCCAGGTTGAAAAATAGTTGAAAACTGCGTCATTAAGTTCCTTGTATATGCTTCTAAGTCATGTGGTTGTTGTCGTAGTTGGGGTTGTGATACCAGGTTGCATATGGTATTCAACGGGACATCAGCTAAATTTAACTGATCAAACCAATCTAACCCGAGTAAATTTAGATCAGCTGGTGTTATGTAACATACCCCAACAAACGCCGAATCACGGAAAGTAACTGTACATTCCATTTGTCCAAGCAGGTGAAGGTAATTACCACACGCAGTACGAGGCTTCTGCATTGTACGCTGCAGGTTTGGGCTGCCCATTTTAGTCCAAATCTTACGTGAGAGGATAGTGACATCTGATGCAGTATCTATCTGTAATGTAGATGAGTGCCCATTAATATTAACAGCAATAAATTTTCTCTCACCTGGTGATGAGCTTTGACATGAAGATACTAAGCTCAAAGAATTAGTGCGGGATCTAGGAAGGGTCTTTTTGTTATTTCTGGATTGACTTGGATTCTTTTTCCTCAGACAAAACCCATCCTTATGACCGATAACCTTACACTTCTTGCATCGATGTTGCTTAAATGAGCAGTTTCGAACGTAGTGCCATGCACCACATTGCCAGCAAGGAGCAGGGGGATTTGCTTTAGTCTGTCGTCCCGAGCTGAAGTGGGATGGACTGGATGGAGCAGGGACGTATTTGTTTTTGTAAGGTGTCTGTTGCACCGCTCGTACTTCAGATCGGTTAGACCCACCACTCTGTACCACAGAAGTGTCTCGTTTCAGATTAATGAGACGTTGATATTCATTAGCTATATCACTCAGGGTGAGTTTCGGCTCTTGATCCAACCGACTTAGTAGCCTTATCCGTAAGTCACTGAACTTTTGATGCTGTAAGCTGCAAATGAGGATCAGGGCTTTAAACTGATCTTCAGTCAAAGACTTTAACCGGAATCGTTCGCATTCACGGTTGATAACGCCCACATGCGTAAGGAAATCATCATCTTCGTTCATAGTTAGCTTCAAGCATCGATAACGAGTATTAGACAGTGACGAGTTATCGCCAAAATGTTGACTTAATGTTTGAACTGTGTCTGCAAAAGATCGTTCACGTGGGTTCAAAGGCAGGATCAGATTGCAATACTTATCCAGCTCAGTTGCACCCAATTTACGAAGTAGCATCCGCACTTTCCAAGCATCATCTTGATTGGCGAAATCAAATTTAAATAGATCTTCATAACGCCTGAACCACATCTCAAAAGTAACATTAGCATCAGGATCGTAATGGAATTCAGCTATACTATTTGCGATGCCATCTACTGATGGTGCCGTGGTTGAACTAGACGTGCTTGGCTGTAAGGGAGATGTAACCCTGGTCTCCGTCAACATTTGCATCAATTTCAGCTGCTGCTCAAGTAACAGTTCAAGTTTGGAAGGGTCCATAATTGAAAAACCACCGTCGCCAAATTATTAGGTTTGAAGCTTAACGAGTTCACTTAAATCTGCGAACGAGAACGAGGTTCGATGACCAACGACCAGTGAGCTAACTATTGACGCGTCCCAGCCCCGCTATCTAGAGAGAGAAGACCAGGCTTGAAATGAGAGTATATTCTGCAACAACCAGAAAACCAGCAAACGTTTTCACAAGACAATTTTAATAACGTATATATACAAATATATATATATATATATATATATATATATATATATATATCGATATTGCCATGGGGCTTTTAAACATTTCATCGATGGTTCGTCAATTGACTGCCATTGAAATATTTAAACATTAATCGATAAATTCGTCAATCAACTATGTGCGTGGGTGGTAAGAAATGCCCATGTATACATCTGCATACAAGCTTCACAAGATAAAATTACAAACTATGAGTTTTTGGGGATCTATCGTCCCCAATAGTTATTAAGTGACTTCCTAAAAACGTATCACTCATGAATGCAAGTGTAATATTTAATATCTGTTATTATCTCTCAATTAATTAATAACGTGCTCAGCATATGTGGGTGCACGTAAACTACTCTCCGTATTTCGTCCATTCAGCAGATGTACATTGAAGAATATAGTGTTATACAGTAGAATAATTACTTTGTTTGCATGTATTGAATAAACAGCGGAATACATACGTAGTTCTTAAATTGTCTACTTGCTTCATGACCTCATACACGTACACACAAACTTACATTTTGAGTCACTGTTTTAATAATTTCATTTTCCTTTCCATCTATTTGTATTACGTTTACTTTAGCGATTTCGTTTCTAAAAAACCAATAATCTGTGATAATCAGCGTAGTGTTAGGTATTGGACATTTATTGCAATGGAAATCATCAGTGGAATAGATAATTTGCATCTATGAGTATCAGAATTCTTTACACTGCTCTATTCTCACCCACTGCGTAACATATTTTTGGGTATCTGGTAAAAAAGATAATATGCGCACAACAAGTAGTTCAAAAAAGGTTTATTTCTCATTAGAAGTAGATTCAAGTTAATATTATTATTGTATATAAAAAGTAGTCTGGGTGATAATCGTTATATTTATGAATATTAGTGAACCATTAATGTTTTTATGTTTCTACTGATTGATTATACGAACATAGTGTTGCCATGGATTTGTCGAAAAAATTTCTATTTAAATAACTGACACTTTCATTGGGGGGAAAATAAAAGTGAAGATAATGATCATAGTATACATAATAAAGCCACATCCACTTGTTTGGTTACATATTTATAGACCTATATATGTATGTTTATTTGGTTTCTAAAAAACTCTAATTCCAGATGACATTAGTAAATGCAATTTTTGTTCATACGGTTAGTTAGTTATTATTTGTTTGCTTTTTTTATTCAGTGACCTTGGATTTGTTATCTACTTTCATCATATCCTACCTTTTGGAATTATTTTTTCACTAGTACGCTAATGGAGGTAGTCTAGCAGGTCTTTTGGCCGCTAAAGCGTTAAGCTTGTCTTGGTCTGTTCGGATCAATTTAGCTTTGGATATTGCCTGTGGCCTCCACCATCTACACAGTCACAGTCTAATTCATCGAGATTTAACTTCTCAGGTATTTTTTTAACAAGAGATTTCATTCAAACCCATATGCATTGTTCTAATTTAAACTCCTGTTATTATGGGGTTTCAGACTTCAATTTGATATTTAGATGCCATCTGTTTGCTTGAAATAGTAACAAGTTGTATTCATGACAGATTCGAGTTGAAGATTTAACCTAACCAACGTGACAAGTCAAAGAAGGAACAAATTCAATTATTATGGTTTCGAAAACCGTGAATTCTGTTTGGGGATAAATGTTATTGTATTACACTATCTTAATAACTTTCTTATCACAAAACAACAGTTAGCGTTATTCGTTCACACACTCATTCTAAAGACAACTTACAATACTGCTCACTTTAGTTTTATAAAAAAACTAGGACATAAGAATCTGACTTTCTGAGCATGTCGAGTCACTATTATTACTTGGATTCGACTAGTTAATTGGTAGTATCTTGTTGTGTTTTCAGTTCCAATAAAAACAGTAATAATGTAAAAACTATTTTGGGACTGATATTTATCGTGGTTGCCGCTTTTCATCGGATAAGATGGGTCTTCATTTACTGTTTTGTAAAGCAGAAACGTTTCACAAACAGATACTAACACTAACCATAAAACTGTGGTTCGTCAGTGTTCAGGAGTAACTGCTGCGGGAAAAAAATAGTAGTTGACATAGTTTTTAAGTTATTCGTTTCTTTTTCACAATGTGATGGTATCATTATAATAATCCTTTCTCTACATACACTACAGAATATCCTTATCCGAGTTCGCACTCGGTCACACTCAGATACAACAGATAATTATTCTGATTCAACCTTTAACTTTGACTACCAGACAGATTGTAATGGCACTCTCCAAGATCGAATTACTCAATCCAAATTATCTGAATCCGAAATTGATGCATTTGTTCAGGGAAGCAAGCATACCAATGGCTTATCACATCAATCTTGTCATTCCCATATTCTTTGTAGACCTCACAGCAGTCGTGTCAACCGACAGCAATTTCACCAGTTTAGCAGAATACCCCCAAATGATGAAACCAATGAGCTTTTACCAGTCAGCTCTTATTCAAACGAAGAATATCCCACAGATATAGATAAATCTGATTTGGATTTAGCACATCTACTTTCATTTGCAAATCAACGTACTGACGAACTGTCGTGTTCAAGTAAATCAATTATCCCCTTCAGCTATCTGCAATCTATTCCACTTATTGAACCACAGTGGATGCAATTAAATACTAATGATCTACTTGTACTAAATAGTTTAACTCGATCAGAAATTTCAATATCATCAATCAATTCACTGGAATTTACTGCACTTGTGGCCGATTTGGGTTTATGCTTGGATTTGAGACAGTAGGTCTTTTGATCTATACATATCTCCAAACTCGTTGTTGTTTTTTAATTTTCTCACAGTTTTATTTTTGCAGACTAAGATTTCGCGAATACTGAGTTAAATTTGGTTCACTTGTTCAGAATATCCAAACACGTGTTTCAGCACTTCCTCTCATATCACCATCAAGTCAAATTTTCCGTTTTTATTATCCACCAAATACTAAACACTAACCTTTACTCCTGTGTTTTGAAGACACCGAAGTAAAAGCTGATTCGAAACAATGCACAAGAGTTTATGCCGAGCCAACGTGACTCAATACAATGAGCATTTGAATGCAACACTAGTTCAAAATTTCGAACTAGTTTTAAACCATTTCCGGCTACCTAGTTGACTAATATTGTTCTTGAGCAGTTAAATGTAATTGTTCAGTTTGGTAATTTCTTAGCAAAGTTTTTGTCTCATTTCACTTTTAGGGATCATGCAGATACAGTTTCAGTCGTTGGAAACCCATTTTATGCTGCTCCTGAATGTCTAAACCGAGTAGCACCCTATACATTTGCTGCAGATATATTCTCCTACGGTCTTTTGTTATGTGAATTAATAACGCGTTTCCACAACGACTGCTCACTCATACCCCGCACACCGGTAAGTATAGATTAACTTAATTAATTTTATTTCTGGATTACTGAAGTCCAAGATATGGAAAATCATTTGCATCTATGATACTGAAAAGTATTGGCATTTCTTAGTGTACGAATTTCTTTATCTTTTTTCGCAAAACGTTTGTCCTGAAGGTAGTGCAAATTCACAATTAATAAAAAAATAATCACAGGTAGAATAGGTCAATTGTAGAGGTTGTTGAGTGTTAGGTTAGCTAACATTACAAACTGACTTCTGGTAAACAACCACTCGAAAACATGATACATCTGGATACCCGTTTCGCTTTAGTTTGAGACTTCTGACTAACGCGCACCTACGACCTCTAAGCATCATGATGATTGCGTTGTCTCCAATCCGCTTAGTTGGAATCCAGTGATCCCGATTTATACTTCAAACGACAGTTAATTAGCGATTTTGCACAACTATCACTCAATACTATCAATGATGTATCTCACTCCCAATGTAGTTTTATTCATAAGTAGATATTATCTTGGATAGTCTGTCACGAAAAAAATGTTTGGAATTTATTGGTAACATTTCTGATCATTAAAAGACAAATCAATTCATTATAGAGTTAATATTGGTAGTTTACAAAAAGTCATTGAATAACAGTATCTTAGACTACATATATGATGTACATAATCAGCAGTAAAGTTATTAGAATATTTATACACAGAAAATCTGAAATGCTCTACTTGTGTTCATATACCAGTCAATAATATTATATTCTCATGTCAACTAATCTACTTATATGCATCAGTTGATATGCCACAATTTGCTTGGATATCTTACAGGTTACCTACACAAATAGCAATGACAAGGCAGTAGAGCACTCTTACCCACTGAACGATTAAATATCATAAGTTTATAATTACGAAACTATAATCATTAGAGATAATGCAGCAAAACGACTGAAGAAGCAAGTTATAGGTATGATGCACTAGTGAAATCGTGGACCTAAATTGTTTGGGATTTAAAATATTCTATCTAACCTACGGTGAGTATGGAGGATCCACTCAGAGGAGTTGGAAAACCCTGATTCCAAACTCATAGTGCACATGGGCTCCAGGATCCTGAAGGAACAAATAGCGTATATACCTAATATTGTTCACTGGCTACCATGGGACTGCATCACTTTACGTTGCTCCAGTGCCTTTCGGATTAGACCTCTAGGTCAAGTGCTCGGGGAATGACCCCCTAAGAAAACTACCCGCTTCGGTTTGGGCACCCGGGCAGTATTCCAGCCCTCATACAAATCATTCGATTCGTGTTGCGCATATGTATTTGGTGCCTCCTAGGACCAACGTTTACGTGTTTAAATAAATAAAGTAAACCTATGGAGTATTATTAACTGTAGTTGGATATGTTTGGGACACCAACTGTTAGAGCATTGCAACCTTTTACGGTCCTTTTATTACCAGATATTGATGGTTTTAAATAAAACTGGTCTATATTGACCGTGGTTGCCAAAGTTCATCTATTTCACATATGTTGCATAAAAAATCTAAAACAACTTTGAAATTCACGATTTGGGGATAGACAAACACTGAATCGATTTGTGGTATTGCGATCACTTTTGAACCAGGTCACCCAATATCTCCTAGAATTAATCACTTTCATCACACAGATCCCAACCAGATAATTTGCACCTACCAACACAGCTCAAACTAGCAGCCGCTAACTTCACGGACTTATGCCACGTCTTTGCTTTATCGTCACTGGTTTTCTTCTATTCTAGTTTCACGCCAACCATCATTGCTCGTTAGGGTTGTCAGTGTTTGGACATAAGTAAATTATGTTCATATAAGCTGTTTCTGGTTAACGGAATTTATACACTATCTGAGATTTTTGTCTTTTGTTCTAATTACTTTTATTTATGTGAGAGTATTTCCGACGTTCTGTGAAGTCTTTTAACTACTCTGAAAAGATATTTATATCTCTACCGTCGTTTGTTATGACAGATTTAAATTATAATAAATTAGATGGATTGACTGAAGTCATGGCTCCTAACATATTAGGACTCGAATGTTGAAGCTAGTAATAACTCAGTTGGACGTTTTCAAGCGAATTTGGCTTAAGTACACATCTTAAGGTGTGTTAAGATCGCGGCCATTATCTTGGAGTCATGACGGTCGTTTGTTGTACACATTTTACGTTCTTTTGTTCCGGTAATACTGAGTTATTAATAATAGTTTACTTCAAATTACAATAGCCAATAAAAAATGGCTATTTTTTTGACAGTTGTAAGTTTACGTATTAGAATTCTATTTGTGTACATCCCCAGTTTCATGAAAAGTAACCTACACTGTTGCATATATAGCTTGTTTTATTTTCTCCAGTCTTTTGGTTTAGATCACGAAAATCTCCCGGTGCCTCCTGATTGTCCTACTTGGTTTTTCAAGTTAGCTGTCGACTGTTGCACTCTTGACCACTTGTTGCGTCCACATATCTTGGGCATCATTGACTCATTTGAGAAAAGTAAATACGATTTGTCTTGTCATGAAGCAGTCCATTCCCAGTCTCCTGTACCTGTACAAAGCTCCACTACAAATGGTTCACGTGATATTAAATCCCAAGAAACTGTTTTTGAATCTCCCTTATAACATCACGTAATTTCATCTAACTCCTTATTTTGTTTACTGTGGCTGTTTATCAGATGTGGTGAATCATTAGTTAATCACTTTTACATGTTTATCGCCATAGCTGTTCCTAATCAACATATCTTGTTGATGAAAGTCATCTCATGATTGATTCTTAGTACTTTTTCAGGAAAAGACAATCAGCTAGTTGATTCAGGGGACTTTTCTATATTCACTTAATTGTAAATTGTGTCAATCCACTACTTTTCTCTGTTTTATGATCTATGAGTCTTTTCTCAATGTTAATCAGTTCTTTCAACCATTATTTTTGCTTTAATTATCAGTTATAAATAGCGCCAGGGATTAAGTGTCGGTTTATAAGGAATTTATCAGTTCTCTTTTTCATTATGTTCTCAGTTGTTTTTTCTCAAAACAAAAGTGGTCTGAATTCAGTTTGATGTGTTTTTTCAGTGTTACTTTTGGAAGTAATCTTACTTTGTTTTTCTGTGCTTCATTTTTTTTACTCTTTCTTCTCAATCTCGACTTTAATATTATTTATTGAAGTATACCATTATAAACATGAACTCATAGTTATTTTATTTCCCTCATTTGTTCTGTGATGTGGAAATACTGTTTTTTCTTATTATCGTATGAAAGTACTGTGCCTGCTTTCTGTTGTCTTCCATATATATATATATATATATATATATATATATATATATATATATATATATATATATATATATATATATATATATATATATATATATATATATATATATTACTTGGCATTTATAATCCCATTTACATACGTAAGGATATGTTTCTACAGCTCTTCCCTTAATAATCACGAAACAGTTCTTTCTTTTTTTAATATAAAGCGCAAAATATATTCCTACATTTCGAATATCTTAATGTAGACGTTAGTTTTTCATAATACCAAAGTTCTGTAGTTGTCTGCTACTTCGATTTTTCGTAACTGCGATTGTTATTACTATCAGTTTTACACTTGTTATCATTAATATGTAAACTAATTTGACATACAATGAGCATCAGTAAATAAATTAATCTTTTTTTGCAAAAGTAACTGTCATTCCAACTTGTTAGCGTTTTGGTCATCAGAATTCCTAGTGATATACGAATATTGTTGATAATGATAAGAGTTAAGTATATATATCTGAATTATATTTTAATCTTGTTAAACGTCAGACTTTTTTCAATAGTTTGGTCCAGTTAACCCATTATGCTTATCACATAACTGGTTACTTTGAACTGTTTTGTGTGACCAAAGTTCCTAACTTTCGAGTCATTAGTTTATGGAAATGCCTTTGTGGTTGCAACGTAAGGATACGACTTAATGCAGCATTTTTTCTGTTAGCGAACGACATCTTCATTCGTTAACTAGCATATTTGTTCTGTCTGGAAATGCTGCAACTAATGCTATTTTTGTGAGGGATACTGCACTTCATTCTGTCCCAAGAAGCTCCTTTTAAACTTTTTTGAAGTATATTCGATTAAATGGACAGTCACCAAAATAAAAGTACACAAATTAGCTCTAGAAATAAAGATATCGGAAGTGTGCGTCATTTTTGTTCTTGCTTAAAATCAACTCGTAGAAATTTCACTTGGTTTTATGGAATTAATACACAAAAGTAGATGTTTATTGTTATACACATGTTTAATCTGATCTTATGGTACAGTTATGTCTTTGAAGAGTATGTGAATTGAAAAGTGCTTTTAGAAATTGGGGGACGTATACATAAAGTTTCGATAATTTAACTTGAGTGTAGAGTAAATATTGTAAATCTGTGAATCAACCAAATCAGACAGACATTTTAGTCTGGTGTTGAAAATTTCATCTCACATGATATTTATTCGTACTAGTACATTACCAAGCTGATCTCATTGTATTCTTCTGTATAGTTAGTAAACTAATTATTTCACATTTATTTTATGTCTGTTAAAAGGGTATATGAATAGTTGTCAGGCCATTAAAGTAACCCATTATGTCATTGAATAAAAATAATAGTCAAGAGAATTTTGCTTTAAATGAAATCATTTACTTAAGCTGTACATTCGTATTAACGAGTGACCCGAGATAATCATGGAGATCGTTTACCATTGGGTCCTCTTTTGTCTGATTGTTTCACGATCAATCTGGGAAGTACTGTACTCCAATCAATAATCGAGGAATTTCATCTACATAGGAGATATATGGATATCACTTTCATTATTTGTGAAGAAAACTGTTATATTGGAGAGACGTGCGATTTGAGGAGAGAGAGATGGCAGTGAGGGCAGAGAGGAAAGGGGTAGCGAATTATTGATCGGACCAGAGACGCGTAAACACGTAAGAACAGCCTAGAGTTCTGATTGGCCCCGCTTCCCTGTCTAGCCCAGCCAGTTGAGTCCAGAACGCAAGTCTCAGCCTCTGTGATATGAATCGTTATATTTCAAACATACTGAGTTTATATACCAAACAAACAGACTACATCGTACCATAAAATAGAAAGTAACATTTGTACAAGATTCGACCTCCAGGAGATGACCCAAATAAATATTGACCAACGGGAAAATGACACGTTGGATGAATATTTACCAATGGGGAAATGACACCATTTCTCATTCAGGAATAGCATTAGATAATTTCTGGGGTATTTCCTGAATACCCCAACAAAAACATGGAACTTAATGAAATCTTGGATAAATTTAAATAGTTGTCATCACTCAATTAATTTGTCTTTAGAAGCAGAAATGAACTCGGGATTTCATTTACTTTATGTCTTGTTGAAAAGGAGAGATGCTCCTCCACAAACACCTATACATAGAAAGCCAACATAGATTGGTCAGAATGAAAATTTTCATAGTCGAGTCTCATTGAGCAGTAACAGGGACCTAATTCGCGTTTTCCTTGAGGACTAGGCGAATATGCTCTCATGACACAAAAGGTGAGGAACTACTTCAACTTAGACGGATACTCATCAGAAATGGATATCCACATTCAAACCATATTTTAGTCTATCGGACTATCATTAATGTTACTAGTATTTTGAATTGTTTGCTATTAATCCTATTAACTTCGTCTTCTGCTGATTCAGTGTGGCATCTTGTGCTACGATGTGTACTGATAACGACGGAATTGATGGTGGTCAGTGGCGAGATGCGGAGCACTAGTTTGAACGTACGTGAAAACTTATGGGTTGTATGTAATAATATCTCGTGCCACTTCTGGGAAAAATATATTCTATAGTCCATTGGTGTCTTAGAATCTGCGGTTCCTACGTATTAGGTAGCTTTTTCAGAAGGTACATGTCGGTGTGAAAATTAAATTGTCCTCTTAATATGCAATATTAATTAGCCAAGTTTGCTTTTACCGTTTCCTTAAAATAAATTGGTTGTCAAGTAAAATGAGTGTAAATTCATAGATTACATCAATTATGGTCGCATATACTATTGCAATTTTACTGTGTTTGTATGCAGAACCTTTTCAGGATATTCAAACGTGCCATCTTTGTCGTGCATACTAAGTACGCTTCAGAATACTCCGTTAATCTATCAGTCGTTTTATTTGACCACAAAAGACAGTAATTTGTTTAGAGAACCGAGTCGATTTAACAGAGAAGCCGAAATTTTTTTTTAGTTCCCAACTCTATTGGAGCTCATTGTATTGTTTCTGTATGAGAACCCTTTTATTTTCTTGTCTTTTAAATTATACTATGCTACTTGCGTTCCCCATAGTTTGATCATCCTTTTTCGAATGAAAATGATAATTTTGAAATCATAATTGATCTATCAGTGTGAGTGTATATTAACAAGCTCTTTTTGTTGGTAAATTAGTGAATATGGTTGAGAAGGATCTTTGTGACTATATTTTTTATTGACTAGCACTGAAAACCAAAATGTTTATTCAATATTAAGGAAGCTAGTGCTCGTCCAACCATCTCAATCTGCAACGTTTAGTGCTGCGATCAATAATATTACAAGTAAATTTGGTGGAGTGCTCCTCGTACGTATTTAATGTAAACGTTTGGAAATATTTGAACCAATATATAATGTTTTGCTTCAGGGTTTTATATAATTACCTTACAAGGTCAATTTTCACACCCATTAAGTAACTGCATACAATTAGCCAAATACGTTCACAGTGAACAGTTTTCAGTAAAATCCAGTCAACACCCCAATATCAAACTTAGATTTAACAGGTTACTCTAATTTACATTTCATTTAGCTGTAAAAAAGTAGATCGATTTATTTAACAAACTGATCAGTTTGTGATGAACACTTGTTGTTAATTTGAAGTTCAGTCGATTAGCTCGTTTAGAAACCGATAAGCCTGAAATCAATTACAACCAGTGATTTCCTATGCTAATGACTAACATATTTTGAACAACGAACTGGGAGCTCATTAGAAAAATGTTTTCAATCATTGTAATTTAAAATGTTTATTGTAACGACGGATAATGGATTGATTCATATTTGCCGTTTTCAAGAGATGTAGGGAAACAAGTATGTGATGCTGTTGTACATTAAAGTTATTGATGTTGATCATAAATTTTTAAAGACAGGGTTTTCCGCTGTTCATAAGAGTAGTTATGGATATAAAATAGTAACTTTCATAACAACGAAATATTCGCTCAGGTTGTTTAACACGTACATACGTGAAATAAAAGATAATTGAAAATATGGTTTGTTCATTCATTTCTCATAAGTGATCCATATCACGCTAGTTTCTATTAAGAACGGGTGAAGAATTGATAATAACAAACTTTGGAAGCTATTCACCTCGGAATCGGTATGTACGTTTTTATTAAACAATAAGTTTACGGTAATCTTATATTATCCTAGTTGTGAGCTATCAGTCGACATACTAACCGTTGCGAAGTTTTTCGCCTTTCAATCACCTTCGTGCCGAAAATTTCTTAGTTATGGCGCTTTACGGTTTTATATATTGTACATGTGATCACGTGAATTTTCGAGTGTGAATAAAACAGATAAGACTTGTCTGATGGTCTCTATCGCTCTAA